GTTTTGTAAAACAGAAAACCTTGATCATGACTTTTACTTATCATGGACCAATTTTCAAACAATTAACATTATATGTATAAAATAATTGGTATCAGAATGTTAAGGAAATAGAGAATATTACATACTAAAATCCATATCATATGTCACATCAGCCCGAGTGGCCCCATATCAGCCTGAGGGCTGATATGGGGTCCGAGGGCTGATGTGACATATGATATGGATTTTAGTATGTAGTATTCTATTTATCATATATTTAAAATACTTAATATGTGAGTTCACATATGGTGGTTGAAGAATGTTTGTGCTTGTCAGTGACATTTTTCTTTAAAATTTGATAGAGCCAATTTTAGGTAACTGGAAAAAAAATTAAGACCACAAATTTCATTAAAGAATTATTTTATATGAATATTTAAATACAATCAAGTAAATTAACTTTTAAACTTAATACAAACGTTACTTCCGGTTTGATATGGCTTTTCAGCCCGCCGGTCCGATACGTGATATGGCTTTTCGGACCGGTGCGTGATATGGAGTATTGTGACGTATTCCGTATCACACCGTGCAGAATCGGTGTATTCACTACTAAGTATATGATAAAATCAATCATCATTCATGTCAAGAAGATAATGATAATTGTCTTATATACTATATAAATGTTTGTGATTTAGTTAAACCCTACTGTAATTAGATTCTTGAAATCCTTAATGATGCATGAATATCATGATCTTGGTATTTTGAATATACACGGTATTTTTTTTTTTTAGATTATTTGACTTTTGTATTATGGCACATATACAGAGTATAACTGAAAAGAAATGAGTTATGCTTAATAATGATTCCTTTTGTGCTGGATATGTACACTAACATGAAGTCATTGGTGTCTTAGGTATATGTTCAACACTGTATTTTTTTTAACTTTTAAGAAGTGAATTCACGGATTTGTGATGCACAAAAAGAAGGATATGGAAATAACGAACAGTTTTCAATCTCAACGTCCATTAAACAATATACAAAATAAGAGCAGAGCAAAAACGGACCTCCTAAACATCAGAGGTGGGAGAAAGTCTTTTCCTGAAACATTTTGATGTTTAGAAGCATTGTAAGTTGATTTATGTTACTGTGTCTAATGTCATTTAGGTCCAACAGAACATTACTTGAGTACATAAATATTTTAATATGTACATAATATGTGAATATTTTTAATTTTTCTCAGAGCAAATGCAACGATTATATAATTGTAAATATACTGATCAAATCTATGTTGATACTTCATATTCATTCTCAGTATTGTACATTGTATATATAAAAATTACTGATACTTTAAACAGAGTGGGTTGTCATTAAATCAAAAAATAGATGCACCTAAAACTGAAGTAAAAGTCACAAATGAGAAAATATTATAAACCATTTTCTGTAATTTTATATAGAGCTCCTAGAAGGTTTACGGGTCATGACCATCCAGCCTACTTAAGATTTATCAAAATTGACTTATCTAATTTTCCAGCTGAACTAGAATTTTACATTAGAATTTAAAACCACTGCTTTCATGATTATAGATTTTCTTTAAGGACAGATGAGACGTTCCCCAGCAATGTTTAACTTTTTTCCAATATTTTATTCTTGAAGATATACAACTTTAACATCTTTATTCAAAAAACATTGAAGTACCTTAGCAGGCATTTGTGCGAGATACCAGAGGATGGTATTTCTTATTACAATCCTTTAGGACAACGGACTTAGTTTGCAAAAATCATATTTTTAGTGCTTCTAATTTTTACAAATACTTAGATACCGGTTTAGAAATCAGAAGATAATTAAACTTGTGTATTTTTTTTCTCATAGATTATGAGGTATATAAAAAACAGATGTTTGGGGAACGTATGGTCTGACCTTAAATTATATAATTTATTTCATTCTTGTTGCATTGTACATATTAGGTATATGAAGTATTGTGTCCATATATTCTGTTTTTTTACTTGATTATTTATCTTTTCTGATATGTTGTTTAAATTCACTGTATTTTTATATTTCAGAACATTTAGAAATTGCATTTTACATTTACTTTTTGTTGCTATAGTTATTTGCATAAAATAGGACAGCAACCTGCATAATCAGAGAGAAACTGACAACTCATTCTGAGTTAAATTGCTAAATTAGATTAACTCCATGTTAATTGAATTTTATCTTTAATATTCTCCACTTACCAATATTGGTATTTGACTGGAGACCACCATTATAATGATCTAATGAGAATCAACTATATATTATAAACTGATAGGTATTCAAAGAGGGGGTCAATGGACAGCCCGTAAAGGGAGGTAAACCTACCTCTTTTTAATATTCCAATATTTTCCCCCAACACAGAGTGGGAATCAAGGTGGATCACTACAAATTCTCATGACTGGTCTTTGAAACCACCATTTATTGCAAAAACATCTTCTTTTTCATTATTAAATATTACCATCTTGAGTTTTGATAATCTGATTCATGCAGGTTATCCAAAGTTATGTATAAATGTGTAAATTAAAAATAATGGTTGATATTCAGAGTCAGAGTCTGCTGACTGTGATATATATTCATTCATTTTGTAATCTTTCCACGTTTGCTTTCGTTATATATTCACTTGTATGATAGGAAATATTTACTATCAAGTAAACTTTAATAAATACATCTCGAGTTTACTGTTAATGTATTATATTTAGCGCGTACGATATTTGGCGAAAATGGATTATAAACAAGTTTGTATGGATATGGATTTGATTTAGTGTATATCTTAACATTCTTCTTTATAGGCGTATACTCGTATGTTTCAGACATTTAGCACTTGTACTTGTATTCGCGGATATTGCTTTACTCAAAAAACGCTAAAAAGAATACACAGCTAAATGTAATACGTTTAAAGTATTTTGTATATTTCAAATAATTATTTTGATGTATTAAAATTTTATCGATACAAATGTTCAAAATATTATGCATCTACTAGTATACATGTAAAATTATTGTCAATTTTACATTTCTATCATACAATTGTTGCAATCTTGCATATTCGAACTGTGTGCCTATATATCTTTGGAAGCAATTTTAAATTGACTTTACTATCAATATTTATGTACATACTTTAAAATTTGAAATGATTTATAAAAGTATTGTTCATTGTTATTCATGCTTCTTGGTTTTTTTCTAGCATCTACTTATTTCTGGTAAATTTCCTGAAATGTGTTGAATTTCGTAAAAAAAAAATAAAATTAAAATCTTATTCATTTTTTGTATTATTTTGATATACATAATTATCTCACTTACCCCCCCCCCCCCCCCGGAAAGATGGAATTTTTTTTTTGGTCAATGTTAGCTTAATAGTCTTTAGAGTTGACAAAACAAGTGCTATTTTTGCAGAAATACCAAGATTAACTTTGTTAGGAGTATACTGATACTGAGATAGGCATTAAACAACGGTTGAAAAGAAAGACGTTCTTAGTTATTTGGTACTCAAGCTAAGCCAAATTAACATGATCATAGTAAATGAATAAAATAGAGGTAGTTCATGCTCTCACATGTATATGTGCAATTCTTGTAACTAACGGACCAAGCGACTTTAAAGCGGTACATTGATACTCAGTGAGCAATTTTTTTTAACAAGAAGCTGCAGCAAAGGGATCACATACTTGGTAACAACGATCAGACAGTTACAGTGTAACTTTATCAAACAGTCCGTCCCTCAACGAGTCTGTCTCTCATCGCATTATTGACAAAAGGGGATCAAGGGCTGGCGCAACGGGCGTGCACCACCCCCCCCCCCACCCCCCACCCCCCCGTTTGAATTTTTTTAATATATAAAATTTATATGTCCATTATCCTAGTATCAAGGGAAAAAACATATGTCATTTGTTAGAAATTGTCAGCTTCCGGGGACTTTTCAGACGAACACCCACCACGGCTTCTCCCTTGACCAACTGGGGGGTTCAGTGCAGTGCCTGGATCCTCCCCCTTCCTTCTACTGCGTCTTCGGACTCGAAATTTCTGGATCTGCCATTGTACTAGGATACATTTATGTCAATTGCTGACATTAAGATTGTGTATATTTAACATTCTTTTGTTAATTGCATTGTTGCAGCTTTGATTGAAAAGTGTCTATATTCGAGATCAAGACATTATAAAAATAATCTTCCGTCAATTGACGATGCTGTCTAAGTGCATCCGAGTTCCCAGAGTTTGCAAAACAATTTTTTCACTTCATTATTTTATGATGTTTTGTCCGTAGCCCTACTCATTGATAGTATCAATAATTCAGAACACAAAATACAAACATAAATTAATGCGCTGCAAGGATTATATATCAATCAAAATTATAATTGATACGTTCATTGTATTACAAAACATATTGTAGAACCCTGTAAGATATATCTATATTAAAGTAAGGGATTTGTATAAAAAGAGGAAGTTACTAATTATAAGATATCAGCCAATCAGAGCAAAGCATTCGTGCATATGCTTAATTTCTTATTGACTTGACCAAGCAGTCTGTTCTAGATCAGGAATGTATCATTATACTTTAGTTTTAAGGCATTATTTGTTGAATAGTTTAAAAGGCTATATCATTAGTATATCACTCTCATTGACAGGTCACACGATTGTAAGCAAATGACTATGTATTACGTCTTTTTTAACCTGCCTCAAACTACTAGTTGTTAATGATTCATGCAAACTACTAAGACGATCAAATTTCTATATAGGTCAAACAATATAAGTATCCTTTCATAGAAGTATAGAGGCTCATTACAACGTATTTGTAATCTAATTGTGATCAGCTCTTCACCATCAAAACGTAGGAGAGGAATCAAAATGCAATTTGTTATGCTATTGCGGAAGAAGATAAGTTTACATGTACTGCTGTTAAGAAGTATCAACATATTTTAGTTATAAATACTTACAGTTTGGAGATGAATTCTCCATATAAACAGTAAAATCTCAAAAATCAACAGTAAAAATCATTCATAGTGTACCTGAGGTCATGTCTTGTTGTATTTCTTCAGTAGATATACAATGATATATCAGGCCAATCGATCTGTAGAAGTTTGATCAACATGGCAGCAGGCTCAAAACGGAACGAGGAAAATTCCGTTTTCCAATTTCATAAAAATAGAAAAGTGTTAAGTGGTGTGGAGTAAAAGAGACGTAGAATCTAAAACAGAACTGATCAATGTCACAATGTGACCTTGTCAGCAAATTCTATTTATCGTTTAGTCAAAGGCGGACATATGTCTTTTTTTCATACTGATTATTAGGCCAATATTTACACTCTGAGTTGTTGACAGACTTTTCCGTGTTATCTATTTATTTATTTATTTTTATGCATAAAATATTTTCCTCTTGTGTTGCTGAAATGTAAGGTAGGATCAATATTTCCATCGGTTTTGAACATGGAATAAAAACAGTAGTAAAATAGTTTTAAAATGATTTTGGTATAGAAACTCTGGCAGGTGCGTCGCCCAGTATGAAAAGGCGTCACTCGTTTGAGTCTATAAGTGACACAGACTCAAGAAGTTCATGTGGTGAACCTCGGATAATCCTCAGGGATATTAAACACTCGTCATATGTACAGTCTTCAGATTCCCAGTTTTTGTATAAAACCAATACATCATACAAAAATTTGAAAGCGTGTAAGGTTTCTATTACAGATACATTTGATAATTCCTTTTTCAATCCCATGCATCTCTCCTGTTTCAAAATGTTCTGAGCAAAACTGTAAAACCTGTGACAATTTGATAACTAACACTTCTTTCACCAGTAATCTTACTGTACAGAGCTTCTATACCAAAACTTGGGAAAATCCAAACTGCAGATCTAGATCTTCTAATGTTGTCTGTTGAATAAAATATAATCTGTGTGGACTTGTTTATGTTGACAAAACCAAGGGATCAGATAATAAAAGAATATCAGGTCATCGATTTCAAATAAATAATTGTGGTCGGAAGCTTTTATACAAACATTTTAATTTACCTGATTATTTTATTTTATCTTTGAAAGTCAGAATTATCGAAAAGATTTATCACCACACAAATAGTTTGTCTCTGAGTACACTTGTCGGTAGACAACTAGAAGAATTGTGGATTAGAAAACTAGGGACGGTCTTTCCCTATGAATGTAATGACAATGTCGATAGTGTTTGAAGTAATTAAAACTAATTGTAAGTCCATACACTAATTGACGACGGATATTTCTGTTATTTCCCAATCATGCCAAAAAGCACACGGCGGATGTGACGGGTAGGCAGGGGATTTTCACTTCTCCATGGCATTTGTTCCCACCTCTGTTGTTTCAAAATGGAGAAGCCTTTGTCGACCTTGGTAACGTCTATGTTTCATTGCACAGGTTCAGTTTAGGTCTATGTTCATTGGATGGTTTACTTGATGACTTTCTTGCGAACGTCTTACAAAACTTAAGTTTCCCAAAGTTAATTTTTTACAAACTTGTTGCTGCGAACAACAAAATAGCGTGTTTGTTTCTTGCAATGTTCCATTATATATTTTAAGTTTCTGTAAGCTTAAGCTTATAACAGTAGTTGTATTGTTGGCCGCAACATCGCAGCTAGCAGCAATAATTTGCAATAACTCTTTCTTTCTGCTTACAATTTTGTTTGCTGAAATCTGCAAACATCTTTACAAGGAATACCAAAACTAACAATACTTAAAAACCCCGGTCATAATAACATACAACTTGTACATAAAAAAGTGAATACTTTTATTTTATGTAAATACTTTACTTAAAAATTACTTAACTTTTGTCCCTTTGCATGGTTACTTTGGTACTTTGATTTCATGGCTTCAAATATATCCGTTTTCGTTCCTTATCGCTGGAAAACAAAATTAACGATTCTTTGATTTCGTGTCGTAATATGGACTGCCTTATTTAAAACATTTTCCTGTTGGTTATCGATTAAAAGTTTGATTCAGTAACTGTCGTATAGCAACCACTATACATACGATAATAATAACAGCTAAAAATGCTAACCGAAATTTCAGGATTATTATTTATTCTTCATACTCTGTATCCATTGTTTCTAATTGCCATATTTCGTTATAAATCTACTGTCGTTATTTGCCTTGTACATAACAGCCAGAATAATTTGACCCAACAAAATCAAAAGCTTGCAGCACATTTATCAAACAACAAAATTATCTAAGTTTTGCAGTCATCTCTTTAGAAAGCCTAAAGAGATAACGAAAAACAAGAAATGTGACCGTGGAAAAGCAGGTTTTAATTCTCTAAGCTCAGTTTAGCCGAGTTTTCTTTAACAATGATTGAAATTTAACTTTATTTCGTTCTTATTTTGTTTTTATAAAAAATCAAACTTTGACATTTAACAGAAGAATGTGATAAGGTAAAATCAAAACGGGAAATCACAAAACAAAAATAAATGAATGTTTGAAATTGTCTAAAATATGATATATATTAGGTCTCTGTCATCGCGAAAAACAAATTTTGCACCTGTTGTCTCAGTTGCATTGGCTCTCCCAGTTGTCGGTAGATCCAATAGTGTGTGTTTCTACTCATATAAATTTTATTTTTATAATCCTTAGATGTATTGAATTTATGTCGATTTATTTTTAACAGAATGGATAATGGAGAATAATTCCGAATAACTATTTAAATGGTATAAATATGAATTAGAATGATATATTAATTATCATAATTATACATGTACCTTTAAATATTAGTTACTCTATATTCCTAATAGTATATATATATTTATGTCCTATTAGACATAGCTCTGGAGGCTAAAACCATGCATCTTTAGGTCAGCCTTTTTTGAATTTTTCTTTGTTTGGAGTTCAATCTATTTTGGATGGATATTCAATCGGAACACGCTCGCCCTTTTCCGTAACCGCTAAAACGATATTTGTTGTTACAGAAATGACTGAGTAGTTATGTCATTGCCCTCAAAATGACTCGAAGTCGCGATCTGCAGCAGTAGCTGTAATAAGCCAGCACGACTTGGTGTTGTGATTTGCAGGATAATTGAACAGTCATCTCCATGGAATGTTGCCATGGAAACCAGCTCATGTACATATATAAAAAAAATGCTGTTTTTTTTTTCAAACAAGGGACTTATCTTCTATCTGTATATACTATTTTTTTTATTTTCTAACTACAATATTGTCAAGTTAACATATCCTTAAGGGCACAACCTATATTCTAAAAAGTTTACGCACAGTGCACAAATGGCCATAGCATTAGCTCTTGAAGACAGACTTTGGTTCAAAAGAGCTTAAAATAATTCCAACAAAAAATCCAGTATAAAATTGTGAAGGATATGGAGATAACAAACATGTATTCAATATAAAATTCGATAAAGCAATTCAAAATAGGAGCAGAGCTTGTCTTGATATTTTTAATGAAGAGATTATCAATACTATCAAGGATTCGAGGGTCCTCTACTAGTGTTTGTTAAAACTAAAAACAAATGCACTACTACTACTTACGACTCTCTGCTCCACTGATGACCTAGACACGCCTTTTGAACTTTGATTTACTATAACTAATGATAGTAAACTATAGCTGACTATAGTTGACTACAGATTACTTTTGTATTTTTTGTTTGTTTCCCATCAGACAATCGTACTGACACGTTTGATTTCTGACTCTTTTTGAACGTGTACTATGAACAAATAATTGGGGAATATATTTTTATTATATTGGGGATGACTCGCTTGGCTTGTGATATTCCTTGGTGACAGCTCTACTGACGTAGATTCTGGGTCTATCTGTCGTGGCTGTAAATCCAAAGGAAAAATAAGATTATAAAAATTTACAACTTTATTGTTCAAGGCGTTGCATGTAAGTGATATTTACAAACATCAGTCACCAGTTACGAACAAAATTTGAAATGTTTTAATTTCATAAAGATGTTTCTCAAACTAAAGTCTGGAGAGGGGTCAACAATAGATGTAACAATATACATGCACCTCTAAAGTTCATAACTTTAAAATGATTCTTAACAATATAAACTTTTAATCATATGAAATTAGTAATATTTGAATAATAGAAGCTACACAAACTTACAATTTATGATAAAGATAAACTTATTAAAAAATATAAATTCTGTGACTTGAAATAAAGCTCAAATTTACAAAATACAATAATGGAATTAAATATCAGGAATAAAAAAGACACAAAAACATAATTGTACAATTCATGTTTTTATACTAGACCTAAGAATAAAATGATAGTAATGATAGTAATCATTTTTACATATTGCTAGCTAGTTAAGTTTTTTTCCCGATATGAATACATAAAGCATACAATGTGCACATGTATATGCTATGAAAGAAGGATATGGAGATAACGAACAGCATTCAACCTCAACGTCCATTAAACAATATACAAAATAAGAGCAGAGCAAACACGGACCTCCGAAACATAAGAGGTGGGATCAGGTGCCATTGAGGAGTGAGCATCCCCTGCCGACCGGTCACACCCGCCGTGTGCTCCTTGTCATGATCAGGAAATAACGGAAAAATCCGTCGTCAATTCAGTGTATAATGGACTTACAATTGGCATGAAAAACTTCAGTCAGTATTTGACTCAATGATAAATTGTATTTGCTGACAAGGTCATTGTATCGACCATAGAATTTTCGAAATTATGTCTTTAAACGAGACTGTTGATATTCTTGTTTAATCAACTTGCTTGTCAATAATTTACCTCGTTTAAGAAATTGTTCATACGTAGAGCACGCACAAACATTTTTCACTATGACTGAGACATATGTTAAATATGGTAAGATTTTTGTACCATATGCCCAACAGAACTTTCACTGTTAACAACCATCGCGAATATATACAACATTTCAACTCGTTGGATAAAGCCAATATCAAATCACACAATATAGATATCCTCTATTTATGATTTGTACAGATACATTTATGAACTAGTGTTAGAACAGCTGATCAGTAGCATTGGATTAAATACAATATAGACATTAACATAGCTTATTTTTTGGGAAATTTATTATTATGACTTATATTAGCTCCAAGTCAATGGATGGCGAATGAAGTAACAAAATATTGATGATACATAGATACAATGTCGATTTGGTCCGTTAAATTTAAAAATTCGATCGAAAAGGTGGATGAATGAACTCCGTTAAAGTAGAGACTTCCAATGCATATTTAAACCATTTAATCGCAAATGATACTACATTTTATATTTTAAAATTTTCTTTGTATAGTGTTTGAAAGTTAGTGCAAAATTTGAATATTAAAGCTGAATACGACTCGTAAATAGGCATACGCCATTTTCGATATCATTATCTGCGATACATCAACACCAGGGTATACTCTTCAGATTCGTCACACCAGACTGCTTTATTGTTACGGGTATCGGCATGGAATGGCGACCCGTGTTCGTGCTGGTTAGCTATTTTGAACTCCAAAAAGCAAATAAACCGGCACAGTCAAGCCAGGATTTCTCCCAATGTATAAATCCAAAATAAGATTATGATGTGGAAGAAGTGCACATTGAAAAATAATAACCTTGTCGGACGTCATGGCACTAAGCACCGACAGCGCAGGACTATCATATAATGTCGTTTTTATTTAATAATTATTTGGGAAATAATGAACTTATCAAGCTAAGTTTTTCATCATTATTTTTCTACTTTTGTTGCTTTATGTTCCTTATAAATTCTGTAGCCCTAATCCTAATTTATAAGTTATTATACAGAACAGAACAAAACCTATTATTTCTTATTAAGAGTGCAGAACAGACAAGTATGAGATTATTACATTAACGGGGAAAAGATAATCCAGTGAATAGCAAAACAGTTAGTAAATGACATAAATTATTTCAACAACAGTAGTCTCAATTTCAAGAAATACACCAATATACATGTGCAAAGGAATGTGACTACTATAACATCATTTATAAATTTGCCGAATATCCCCAATTCAAACAATACTGCAAACATTGTACTTTTCTTGTTAACACCAATAATATATTTACAGAATTTAAGGTGTATTCTATCATAGAAGAGATTTTAAAAGCAACGTTTTGAAGTTTAGGAATCATGTAGTATTTATATTACTTACACCCCACACTTCTGCATTATACAAAAGAATTGGTTTAATGGTGGAGTTAAATACATGTATACTGATTTTTAAGTAGTTTTCAAATTAATAAAATCATAAATTCATCAACTGCATTTTATAGAGCTCTTTAGAGAGTCTCGTTTGTATATCTTCAGCTGATGTGGATAAAATAACAATGTCATCTGCATACATTAAACAGTTAACAGTTTGTGTCTGAAATGATACTTCATCAATACCTGAATCTAAATATGCTGAAAAATAATTGATGAATATTTCAATGAAGGACGGGCTTAACTATTACTTTGAAGGACCCCTATAGCTGTTGGAAATTTATCTTATAGGAATCTTCAAATTTTCAAACATGCTTGACTATTTCATACATTTATATGTAAAGCTATATTTTCTTCAAATTATTTTATAAACTTCTTGATCTTTTTTTTTTACATCAGTTCAGCTTAGAGGTACAATGCAACCCTTTTTTTAAGATTTCTCTTTTTCTTCTTTTACTAGTGCTTCTGAAATTCCATTTTTTGCTTGTACTAATGCTTTGTCTACTTTTCATTTTTTGTTTTCAAATTGTCCATTTTTGTTTCGATTTTTTCGTTCGTTTCCCGCACTTCCGTTCTCAAGTTTCCAATTTCTGTTTGAAGTGCATTTTGCATATTTACCATTGACCTTTGCATGTTTGTTTGAAAATTCGACAGTAACGCTTCCAAATTAGTGGTTGTTAGAATAGGACTTTGATCTGCTGTAGCAACAGAAGGAGAGCACGGCTTCAATCTATGAGGGAGTTTAAAAGAATCTAAAATTCTAGTCATTGGTGTCACGAGACAGGATCCCTTTGTGTTCGAACCAATAGCCATCCCGAGACAACTCAGTGTCTTATCAGGGTTAATACAAAACACAAAGGCTCCAGAATCACCGGCTTTAAAAAATGAACCATGAGGTAAGCTTTGGATTTCAATTTGATTGTACATTGTAGCAAAACCCTTCTCATCTGGCAAATGTAATGTTTCGTTTAAAAAGCGGATGTGCACTCTTTCAAAGTAAAAATTTCCAATTGTGAATCTTGTTTCACTTCCATATTTTATGACGCTGTTTAATCTTCCTGGGATTCTACTTCTTTGTAGAACATCTGACGATCTACTTTTTCCAGTCTCAGGATCTGGCAAACTAACAACCTCCCCTGTAAATGTTGGTGGCTTACTTGGTTCAAAACCTGAAATTAAATTTTAAAAAAAGTTTTTTTTATAGCAATACAAGTATTCAAGTATTTTTATAATATATAGGCAAACTGAAAGAAATGTTTGTCTCCTCCCTAATATGGATGAAAACTTGCATGATTCTATAAATCACAGATGATTAACGGCAAAGAAATCCTTTTAATGCAATTAATTTAAACAAAGAAACACATACTAAATGGCATAACAGAAAACAAAAAAAAATCGACGTCGATGAGATATCGTCAAATGAAGATAATATTGATATCAAAGAAAACTTTATTAGTTACAATGTAATAGAGTTGTAAAAACAGTTTTAATGAGGTAGTCTTAGTCATAACAAAGTATTTTACTATACATGCCAAAACTTTGCAAGAATATGCTCGAGGACATAAGATATGGATGCTAATATTTCTTTTGGAAAAATTTAAACCAAATAATTTTAACAAAATCAACTGCATTAGAACTTAGGACTTTTCAACTTTGTATACAACTATTCCCCACGAAAAAAAATCTCCAGCTGCAGCCTGTTTGATATGCTTCTTCAATGAAAAGGGAACTCGTGAATTGACTAATCAGGTCATTGGTCATTGCAAAATATTTTGTTAAAAGCACATGTACACTAATGTTGTTAATAAAACGATGTTTGAGTTTCTGATTTAAAAAGTTTTTGGAGAAAGCTTTTCTAAAAGTCTAATGCAATTCCCATGGTTGCCCCGTAATTAGGAGACCCACTTTTCGTAAAAACGGTAAAAAAAAACTTGTCCAAAATTTTATACGTTAAAATAAAAAAAAGTATATGTGGAAATTTTGGTGAGACGCAAATTTAGCGATATGTCCTGAAAAACTGGTAAGTAATTTTAAGCGACATGATATTTTAGCGATTTTAAAATGCACGTTAAAGAAGTTATAACAAATAAAATGCAATTAATTTTTAGCGATATATAGCGAACTGGGCACCCTCGTTAATAATGCTAAAATAAAATCCTCGCTAAAAATTCGAGTTAAACGACACTTGCCTTTGCCTTCGACATTTTGACGTATTGACAATTAACAATGGTTTATGCTAATCCTACGACGATATGATATATTGCGGTGATTCAAATATTTTACTTTGAATTAAAGACATGAATGGTAATCTAACACCCAAGCTATATGATAAACGTCATGACTTTAATTTTTAAGGAGGCTGGTGGGTCAACAAATAAACCACAAATTAACTACCAGATTCAACTTATTTTTTTTTTTGATACGGTATGTTTAACTGTCAACTTTCATTCAGCAAAGAAAAAATTCATACATTTTTCCTTTAACATGCATACGACGTCACCTGACGTCAGAGTCTTAGACGCGCCGAATGTCACGTGCGGTTTGACGAGTCCGATCTAAATAAAAAAGGGACAAGAAAACATTGCTGTAACCATCAATTGTCGCCCGGGAAATATATAAAGTAAATAATGGAAATAAGTCTTGATCATCAAACCGCTTAGATATGTGTGAAAAGGCATGCGTCTAATTGATGGAGACGATAGTGGGGAATATTTTGAAAACTCATAGTCGGATAAAAATCAAACAAAAACTATACCATTTTAATCTTGATCAATTCCTCAAGTAAATGTGGCTGCATAAAATATAAATTAAAGTTAGACACATACATCACCTATATTCAAAATTAATGTATTTTAAATTTCAATTTTAGAATAGAAAACAAGAACTGTGCGAAGTACGCTTTTATGCGAGAAGTAAAATTCGATGTTCTAGAAAAAAGGACCTTCCATAGTAAATGAAAAGCAACTTTATATATTAAATATGAAAAACATGTATATTTTTAAAGATTCATTTTATGGAAGTAAATATATTATGTATCTCCTAATTTAATTTTTAAGAAAAGAACATTCTGATTAACAATTTTTTTTCAATATTTTGGAAACCTTTAATTCTGAATAACTACTCCCGCCCAAATCCCCATACACGAACACTTAAACTTATAGCCTATGTATAGAGCAGCCCGGTCCTCCGGGTTACAAAAAGTATCTGCGCTCGCACTAACGGTTGTTCCGTCAACATATTATGGAGCTCTTCTTTTAAAGAAAATCGAAATAGTCTGGAAATGGCTGCCACCCCCTACCCCCTCCAGCCTCTTAAAATCGTCAACTTCCCTTACTTATGAGGCAGCAAGATACACTCATCACCCACATACGGAGTGTATATCTGATTCTCTCAGTTGTACCGTTACGGGAGAGTATGCTGTACGTATGAAAGATTTCTTAAACGAGGTAAATTATTGACAAACATGTCACGGTAACAAGAATACCAACTGTCTCGTTCAAAGTCATAATTTTGTAAATAATTTTCGTATGTTCTAAGGGTGAAACAATAACCTTGTCAGCAAATACAGTTTATCTTAAGTCAAACGATGACTGGTGTTTTTCTTACCAATTGTTACACGTCGGCCATTATATCACACTTAATTTTCGACAGATTTTTTTTCTAGAATCTTCCCTATCAATACAATGAGTGCTAGGCGGGTTTGACCTTTCTGAGATCAATCATAATATCACTTTCGTTCCTGTTTTCCAATGCAATTCATACTTTACAACAATCGGATTCTCTTAATTTAAATCCTTGGTAAAGATCAATCTTGTGTAAATTTCTGTACATGTATATGAAAAATTCTTTCATATTTTTAAGACAAAGTAATGTCAAGTAGATTGATACGTTTTTTTTACACAAGTCATTGTGAAATTAAATTATATATATATATATATATAATACATGGTTACTGAAATATGAGCTATATTTGGGCGAGGGTAAGAAAACGTGATAGAGGGCGAGGCTTGCCGAGCCCTCTTACGTATTCGACTCGAGCCCAAATATCACTTATATTTCAAAACAGTTATCATGTATTTTGTTTATCCTGCCCAAAATTTTACATTTTAGCGTCCAAAACAAATTAAGCACACATCTGCAGTTGAAACTATGACGCCATGGCGTAAACATTGCAGTAAACGTGACGTCACAATGCTTTTAGAACGTCGGAATTTATACTCCAGGCTTTATTAGGTCAGTGACCGGATAAAGCTTTGGTTTATAAGGTTACCTTTATTAGGTCAATGGAAGGGTAGTGTCATGATAAATGTATATACTCAAGCAACTCTCAATTTGCCTTGACGATTGATCAAGGGATTCATTGTGTGTTGTCGATTATTCTGATTGACAGCTCAGTTATGTACATGTAATACCGAGCTCGACGTTTACTTTCTAGGTGCAATATTTAATTTGCTATCTGCATTCGGTGTTCGCTTTTGATCGATCTGGGATGCACTCTTTTTCGCTCAGTACCAGCCCTATAACTGGCGTAGTTTTTCGTTAGGTTGTGTTTCAATCTTACCTGCTAGATAAAGTTGATCAGCTAGGGCCACGGGAAATCCAATTTTGTTCACAGATTGGTCAAGTTCTATCAATGCAGCGTCTACTGAAATGTCATTATTTGATGTAGGAAAACATTTTTTCACAATATTACCACAAACTTGAAAATGATGTTCATGTTTATCGAAAAACTCTACATTCAAGTCTGTATTTCTGCTGAGTACATCGTTTTCTATCTCAGAATAAGGCTTAAACAATTCAGCTGTTGAGAATACCACATGAGCACACGTTATTAAACCAACAGAGCCATTTGGCAAATCAACAAATCCCCCAATACTTCCATGTCCAGGAGTGTTTATTCCTCTGGCACGACGTATATGCCCTCCAAAGTCTATAGATTTACCACTTCCCAAGGAACAGTAGCCCTCCTGTACATCTACTTCAAAACCATTGATTTGTTTAGGAAACTCTCGTTCTCCAAAAGGAATGAATCCTTTATGTAAACACAAAAGACTAAAGCAGTGTTTTTCGACAATGACATGTTTTCCTTTGGAATATCCTGATGATTTATAAGGAGATGCCGATATCACAGTGAGGTTGGAATGCTTCTTGAAAAGTTTTCTTGCGTCATTTTCTGCTATGACAGGCAGATTGGTTGATGATAAAGAAGCAGAAGAGGAGTTGAAGACAGTATGAGCTTCATCTGATGGTTGTGTATAGTTATACAATACCAGATTGACCCCCATGACCTTTTCCGGAATTCCGTCTTTCATTTCTATGCTACCTTTGTATAACATCATGATCACAAGCCTACTTTCCTTGCTGCATTCACAACAGAACGATAGTCTGATTGCATTTTGTTGAAGTCTTGGACATTCTCTTAGAATTATGTATAATGCTGGTGTCAGGAAAGTGTCCATAACAGAAGAAATTCTATTCTTGTCTTTAAACAGTTTACACAAATGAAAATCAAAATCAAGCAGGTACGACCTCACAATTTCTAAAATCAATATGTGGTTTTGATTTTCAATAGCGCATTCCAGCAATCGATCAATAATTGATGAAAGGTCTCTTGGTTTAAATTCTAACATTTCTTTTGTTGCGTATGCAGAGAATAGGATAGATAAAACGAGACGACATTTTGGAGACTGTGTCTTTCTGAAGACTTTGTTAAAGTCTGTAATCCATTTAAGAAAATCCCAGACACTGGATTGAGAGAATGGCTTAAAACTTTTACTTTGCTTTTCAGCCTTACTGAAATAAAGACCTGAACAGTCGAGGTAACCTACTCTCTCAATGATGTCCTTAAAATCATTGTTTTCCATGTGATCACGTTGAATTGAGGAAAGATTAAAGGTTTCAATATTCAGAAAACTAATTAGTCTTTGGATTCGAAATTCATAGTTCTCGCTTTCTTTGAGCTGTTCCAGTTTTTTATCAAAAGTTTTCTCTGTCCAACAGGAAGTTCTCTCTACAATTAAATGAATAAATGGACATCAATACCATTAATAAACAACATAGACAGGGTCACGTGAATTTGATTTAAGCAAGATTGTTTAAATTTAATTTATTTCACTACTGAATTGATGCTGGTTGTGTGTTGGGTGTAGGCAAAAATCCCCTATCTATTGTAATTTTTTCAATTTTCCCAATTTCACGAAATCTGAAGCCAGATTGAAAAATAAAGATAAATATTAATTTGATCTTATGACATATCTCTTTTTTTAAAAAAAAGTCTTGAAAAAAAAGCTTTAAAATAATAATAAGATATTCAGGCATTTAAAAAAAGTCCCTTGTACCAATTCTATTGCGGTCAAATTTCTGCTTGGATATATGATGTGTTTGTCGTGAATTACACCAACAAAAGACCACTTATGGATTTGGATTTACTGCTAATTACATTTTGAATGTAATACAAAAATGTATAACATCATAGGACCTGAATATTTTTTGTTTAAATTGACTTTCTACATGCAACTTGATATACAGTGATTAAAATAATCATTTATTTTTATTTTTTTTTTATTTATCTAATTTTTATTTTAAAGCTTTGAAATTCACAGTGACTGTAAAAGATAATGAAAAACTGACAGATTTTAATACTTTCTGGCAATTGATTGTTATATTTGAATCAATTTACTTCATTTTTAATATCATCATTATTTTTTTATGCCCCCGTAACGAAGTCTCGGGGATATATAGTTTTTGTCGTGTCTGTCTTTCTGTCTGTCTCTCTGTCTGTCTCTCCGTTTGTCTGTTTATCCGCACAAACTTTAACCTTGTCATTAACTTTGGATTTGGTGGAGCTTGGACTTTCATATTTCATATGTATATTCCTTGTGACAAGACTTTTCTTAGGGTACCACCAAATTTACCTTTTGACCTTGGAGTTTGACCCACTTTTAAATGAAAATTTTAAACTTTTTCTTTGGCCATATCTTTTGAAATGTAGATACCAGGACATTTATACTTAACATATCTAATGTTTGTTGAAAGACCTTTTATCGGATACCAACAACCTTGACCCTTTGACCTTGACCTTGTAGATTTCCGTACTTGTGAAAAAAAAACTATAACCTTGGCCATAACTTTTGAACGATAAGTAATAGGACTTCATACTTCAAAAAAATTTTCCTTGTGTGAAGTCCCTTCGTTTGTGTACCACCAAATTTGACCTTTTGACCTTGACCTTGGAGTTTGACCCACATTTACGTGAAAATTTTAAACTTTTACTTTGGCCATATCTTTCGAACAGTAGATTCCAGGACATTTATACTTCACATATATAATGTTTGATGAAAGTTCTTTCATTGGATACCAACAACCTTGACCCTTTGACCTTGACCTTGTAGATTTCCGTACTTGTGAAAAAACTATAACCTTGGTCATAACTTTTGAACGATAAGTAATAGGACTTTCATACTTCATAAATATTATCCTTGTGAGAAGTCCCTTCGTTGGTGTACCACCAAATTTGACCTTTTGACCTTGACCTTGGAGTTTGACCCACATTTACGTGAAAATTTTAAACTTTTACTTTGGCCATATCTTTCGAACAGTAGATACCAGGACATTTATACTTCACATATCTAATGTTTGATGAAAGACCTTTCATTGGATACCAACAACCTTGACCCTATGACCTCGACCTTGTAAATTTCCGGACTTGTGAAAAAACTTTAACCTTTGCCATAACTTTTGAACGGTAAGTAATAGGGCTTTCATACTTCATATAAGTAATCCATGTGAGAAGACCCTTTGTTGGTTACCAAAAACTTAGATCCTCTGACCTTGAACTTTGAGATTGATCTACTTTAAAAAAGAAAACCTTGACCATATTTTTTAAAGAGTTAGGACTAGTACTTTCATACTTTACACATTTGATTCTTTTTACAAGACCTTTCATTTGATAACAAGAACGTTGACCTTGACTTTGGAGTTTGACCTACTTTAAAAAACTAGAAATATGTCCATAGGACATGAATGCCCCGCCGAGGATATATCAGTAAAGCAACATGAAAATTAGTATGTGTTTAAAATTTGATCAGAATAACCAGAATAGTGATGCAGCTGAATTGCTTGTTTGGTAAATATAGGTCAGATTCAGCATCCGAAGCAAGTCTGGTAGTGTCCATCCAAAGATGCATCATCCATATAAGTTTGGTTCAGGTAGGGCTTATAGATACTTGGGAATGAAAATATAGGTCAGATCCAGCATCCGAAGCAAGTCAGGTATTGTCCATCCCTAGCAATATCTCACGTTCTGTCACTATCTGTGACGCTTGGCGTGGTCCTACTGCTCACGTCCTGACACGGTACTTTCCCGCTCAGAGACGATTTGATACGGACGCATGAGAGTAAACGCCATTTGACACGAGTGTTAACGCTTTGTTGCGGACGATCACGCTATATTACGAGTATTAAGCTTGCATACATAACGGTAAAATTGAACGTGTTTCTTTCCCCGATTGAAAAAAAATGTTTGAGTTTTGGAAAAATATTTTTAAAGATGACTATAAGGAAAGACGGGGAGATCCTATATTCATTTGAACCTGAACCCGTTCGATCAGAGGCAACATCGGTGAAAAAATACAAAGATAAGAAAACGTACTGCTGCTTTTGCTCTACTTTGACAGCAATAATATATGACCATAGTAACACAACAAACACCACGTTCATGTCGTTGTCATCAACCTCAACTTTTGCCATTATTATTGATTGTATTGTATGTTTTGTTTACCTTTTAATAGATAAAATATAATGGACTCAGTTTAGCCAGAATTTTATATATCTTTCGGGGTACAATTGTAGCTCAAAGCGTGTTCTATCTTGATACTGATCGTGAAAGACATTGCAATGAACGTGTTATTCTATCGTACATTAGCGCAAGAGTGCGCGATGAACGTATTATATCGCAAGAGTACGTATTAAAACGTAGAGGATCGTTTCAAATCGAAAACTCAGATCGTGAAATTCGTGACAGATCTAGATTGTTTTTTGACTAAATCTTGATAATCCTATTGGAACGTAATTCATCTTATCCGAACGTTTGTCAGATCGTCAGAGATCGCATCACATGCAATTTATCCATCGTGGCCATAACGTATAAAAGCGTAACGAAACGTGTGAAAACGCACCTATACGCATCTCTTCGTATCTTGGCTTAAAATTCAATAAAAACTCTGCGATCAACTACGATTGATCTATCGTGACGTGCGTAACTGACCGCACGACAGTGGGAACGTAGCATTATACTGATAAAAATGTTAAATGTAAATAATTCAAGGTATCCGGGAAATAGCTACCAAAGCAGGGTTTACATATATGACTAACGCTCTAGTATTAGTATTTTCATAGTTATTTTAAAAAAGCTATTCATATTTTACTGCGAATATTTATGCCTCCGTAAACGAAGTTTCGGGTCATATAGTTTTTGTCGTGTCTGTCTGTCTGCCTCTCTGTCTGTTTGTCCGCAAAAACTTTGACCTTGTCCGTAACTTTTGATATAGTTGAGCTGTGACTTTCATATTTCACATGTGTATTTCTTGTGACAAGACCTTTCTTTGGGTACCACCAAATTTGACCTTTTGACCTTGACCTTGGAATTTGACCCACTTTTTGGCCATTACTTTTTAACAATAGATACCAGGACATTTATAATTCATATATATATATTCTTTTTGGCAAGTATTTTTACTGGATACCACCAACCTTGACCTTTTACCTTGGCCTTGGAGATATACGTACTACTGAAAAAACTTTAACCTTGACAATAACTTTTGAACGGTAATGACTAGAGCTTTCACACTTTAAATATGTAATCTCTGTAAAAAGACGCTTCATTGGATACCAAGAGCTTTGACCTTTTGACCTTGACGTTTAACTTTCTTTCAAAAAATAAGCCTTGACCATATTTTTCAAAGTGTAAGAGCTATTGCTTTCATACTTATAATATTTTATCCTTGTGACAAGACTTTTCATTTGATATTGAGAACTTTGACCGTTTGACCTTGACCTAAGAGTTTGACCTACTTTTAAAAAATCTTAACCCTTGCCATAACTTTTGAACGGTAAGGACTAGAGTTTCCATTCTTCACATATGCATTCTTTGTAGCAAGAGCATTCATTGGATACCAATAACCTTGACCTTTTGATCTTGACTTCATACTTCACATGTATAATTCTTGTGACAAGACCTTTCATTCAATACCAATAACCTTGACATTCTGACCTTGATCTTGGCGTTTTCATACTATATTTTTTTAACCTTTGCCATAAATTTTGAATGGTTAGGGCTAGGGCTTCCATACGTAAACATGTGATCCTTGTGGAAATACCTTTTCATTGAATACCAATAACCCTGACCTTATCACTTTGATCTTGAAGATTTATGTACTTATGAAAAAACTTTAGCCTGGCCATATCTTGGGCACAGATGGTGATAGGGCTTTCATGTTTTACAATTGTTTTTTCAGTTAGTAGACCCTACTTTTGGTTCCAGAATATTAACTTTGCATCTAAGAAAACTTTAATCTTCACTATGGTGCCATACGGGGGCATTAGTGTTTCATAAACACGGCTTGTTTTATATAGGAAAAATCAGTACATAATAAAACTTTGTAATTGATTTATACTTAAATGCCAAATTCTGTCTTAAACAAAAGGTGGGAACATACATAGGAGGCACTATATCTGTATAAAATGAAAGTTTATTAAAACTTGTATAATACCTGAACACTGTTTATGGTCAGGAATTAGGTTAACCATTTTTTTCTAAGAATATACTTGAACTTGATCTATCCAAAGAATTGTGGTTGGAGATTAAAGTATACCTGTAGATTACAAGTAATATCTGTATACGGTATAAGTTACCAGTAATTCTACATATAGAAGTTTCAAACGTTTATTTTTTCTACCAGTGACAATGAACTAACAAAGCTGACTTTGGGTGAAGGGCACACCATCAGGGAT